GAAAGAAAGAAAGAAAGAAAGAAAGAAAGAAAGAAAGAAAGAAAGAAAGAAAGAAAGAAAGAAAGTCTTTTGCTCTCCAAACGTTTCGTTGTCATGGTAACGCTGTCGCTAACCAAAGCTAACCGCCGCCGTGCTTCAATTGTGTCCCAGCTAAACGTTTTTCTGTATCGGTTCTGGTCTGTTTAAGCTCCGGTGTCGCTGTCTTCATGTTGGCTCCACGGAGGAAAGGTCCGTGGAGCTACTGGGAAATCGAAGCGTGAGTCTGAATCCTTTTCACTGCAGTAGTTTCAGACATGCTCTTTATTGGGTCAATTAAGTTAGCCTAACGGTGTGATGTCAGGAAACAAAATGAAACAAATACGATATGTGCTAGAAACAAGTCTGTCAACGCAAAACAATGCATCTTTCCATGGGCCTCAGTAAACTGGTCATTTTCTGATAGAAAGCTAGCCTGCACAAGGTAAATGCAAAACATGAAGAACAGTTAGAGATGTGCTTAGAAGAGCTCTGGTAATAGTTCTGATTGCCTTTAAAACACTGATGCTTTGCAGTGAAAATGGTTACCTTGTAGACACTGCTCTTTAAAAGCATTTATACCCCTTGAATTGTTTTCCTCAGTTCATCATGTTAAAACAAGGTTTTGATAAATAAATAACAAACTAGGACTGAAAGGTGTATTTAAAAGCAGGTGTATTTAAAAGCAGAGATTAAATTGAGTTATCATATAATACAAATATAAGTGAAAAATGGTGATACCTCTGGCAACAATGCTAGATTCACACGCATGTGCTTTGAGTCGCAACAAAGCATCTGCTGCTTCATTCTTGATGCTTGTACACAAAAAAGTCAGACACGCCTCTAGAGTGTTTACAGATGCGTCTGATGTTTGCTATATTTGCTGTGATAAGCTGGAAAAAGTTGTTTTAATATATTGCACGAGAAAGTCCACCTCAAAACATCGTATGTGCCGTCAGTTCATCAAGATTATGATCCTGCCTTAAAATGTTATTTTGCTGTTGCAGCTGCACAGAACCCCACATATCGACAGTACACTGTCACTGGGAATCCCCAGCAGCAGTTGCCTCAGAACCAGTCTCTATTCTTCATGGTGGCTGGAGGTACATGTTAGTGTTTTTTGGGCATATGGTACAAAGTTCAATAAAAACGAAGATATTTTGCAGGCAGGTTTGAGATTTTATGTTAATTTAGAGCTTAATAAACTGTTTCTGAGGAATGATCATATTTCTTCTCATCAGCAGTCCTGTGTCTTTCTTCCTGCCAGCTCCCAGATCAGTTTCTCCGTTTAGTTGATGTGGTGCTTCGAGCACCAAAAGTTCAACTTCTCCGACTCCAGCAGCTTCTGCTTGTGAAGCGCGTTACGCGCCTCAGATGCTCATAAGCCCATGAGGCGTTGCTACAGCTGCTCATATGCGTGAAGATGCACAGCTCCTGCTGCTCTGTAGGAGCTTTTGATGCACGTTGACGCGCGTCAACCATAGACTTTGCATGTGAACCAGCTGCTTCTGCTGCTCAAAGCGGTGTGAACATATGCTTAATTCCTTAGTGCTCTCCTCTATCCTGTGCATAGTTCTACTCCCACAGCTTATATTGCTCATACTGCTTCCTCTTGCTTGACTTTTAGGCAAGTGGGCATATGTTGGTAGGTTTGCAGTTTCTCTTTCTATTTTTGGATATGAAAGCAAGCAATGAGGCGTGATCTTTGAGTATGGTTTTATAACAAATATACTTTTGATTCCCTAGGTAGAATAAAGCCATTATGGAACAGCTAGTCAGAGTAAACTAAGATACATTTCAACATAGCTACGCTTTATTGTCTACCACATAAAAAACCCATATTGCAGTTTTTACTTAAAGTTTAGTTAAAGCTTTAAAAAAAATGTTCAAGGGGTATTGATATTTTTCAAGGTGCTGTATGAGAAATATATGAATAAGAATCCCAGGAAAGAAGCAGAAGATATTTCTATTTTGGAAGTCAATTTGTGCTTCATATTGATTTATTCTAGAACCGAGGACGACAAAAGTGCTGAAAGAAATGCCCAAATCTGAGCAAAAAACTGTGCATACAGCTGGCGATGTCCAGGCTGCTGGCTCTCAATACAATGAAAAGGTGAATTTCAGCAGCATATTGGGATGCTATTAGACTGCTTTATATCTGCATGAACTAAATTGTTGTCTAATTGCAGAGAAACAAACCAAAGCCTCCTAAAGGTCTGCAAACCCTGGAGCTCAGAGCTAATCAAAACTCACGGATTTGTAGAAATACAAATGATTCAGAAATGGCTCCCCTGGTGAAAGACTCTAAGCAGACGGACTTTACAGGTTATTTTTACATGAATCCAGACAAGTGCCAGTGATGTTTAAATCCATCTAGGTAAAAAGTTTTCCTTTGTTCTCTGTCCCTGTTGCTCTGCAGCTTACCTGCGATTTGATGAGCATGGGATGATTCTTCCACACAGCATCCTTGGCAGCTTGGAAGATTTTCGAAGTTATTTGGAAAGAAAAGGGGAGACAGATGTAATATATAATGCTGTAAAATGTGGCTGTTGTTGACCTGAAACACTTCAATGATCCACTATGTTTATTTCTTTCTTGCCTTCAAAACAAGTTGTTAAAGAAAATCCCAAAGACTTTGTGGGATCCTACATCTGAGGCACCGAGGCCTTCCAGAGACACAATAGGAAGAAGGAGGGTTTTAGACCAGAGAAGCACCCAGAGTAATGCCCTGCAGCGATGGGATGAACACATGACCTATACCAGACGGAAGCAGGAAGAGTTATCTCGTAAGCCTTGAGAATTTTTCATCACCATAGTTCTGCTTTTTAAGAGATTAACAAGATTCTTCACACAAAAGAAGAAGAGAATTAAATCTGTGTAATTTGCTCCACATTAAGACTCCCTCAACAGGCCAGTGGAAACCCTGCTGATGAATCAAGCCAAACACTTCAGAGAAACTCAGGACCAAAGGGAATGTCTAAACCGAGTCATGCAATTCACCCACTCTGGATATGTATGACACATTTGTTTTTTTTTCTAGTCCCCTGGATTTTCCTTCCTTCAACCTCTTCTTTTGTTTTTCATCTCTTCTGTAGGGTTACCACACGGGCAGTGAGTTTTGGAGTCTCCCACAGCATTACGGTGATGAACTGAGTGGTATTAGAGACACGCTGACTCAGACTGAAAGAGGCCAAAAGAAACCCATCACATATGTTGGACATCCAAATAGCATTCAAATAGAAATGGGTAAACATTATAACACCGCTTTTCCCTTGTTAAAGAAATGTTTAATGGTTAAATTGAGGTAAATATAATACCTATGATGCTTCACATTAAACAAGTTATGATAGGTTTATCATAGGCCCTCTTCATAATCTTTATGGACAAGATTTCTTGACAAAGCCCAGGCATGGAGGGGCTCTGGCTGTGGTTCCACCTGCTCCCTCCTGCCAACCACTACAGCGTGCACTTTAAGATCTTTGGGTCCTGTTCATGAGTGAGGGGAGAATGGAGTGGGAGATAGATTGACAGATTGGTACAGCTATTGTAGAGCAGTAGAGCTTCCATCATCTGCAGATTTGTTATTACCGTAATACCGCATGCTCACACCCAATGTGTTTTGAGCTTCAGGGACAGTCAGTTTAAATGCAAAGTCTACGGTGGGCACACATGAATCGGCATTAAGGGGTGCTGCTCAAGTTGGAAAATCTGAACTTTTCCTCGACTATTTCTAGAAGCAGTAGACTGAAATGAAAAGGCAATAAGTGATTTCTCCATAGTAGGTCTACATTAACAATGTAAGCTCTTACACAAGCATCTCCATCTGTTGGACTTATGGTTTTCTTTTAGTGGGATTTTTAAGTTTTTTTGTTTATCTCATAGGAATCCTTTCTAGTGAGACTGAGCGCCCAGCTTCTCGATCTTGGGCTCAGAGTGCCTACTTGGAAGAAAAGTCCCATGAGCTTCGAGACATTCTGAAGGACATGGACATCAGGAAACCAGTAGGACTTTCTTTAATAATTTAATGTCAAAAATGTAACCAAAAACCACCCACAAATTTAAGCATTTTTTTATTCTTATAATATACAAATTCTTTAGACAATGTAAATCATGTTTTGATTTGTTTATGTTTTAGGACAAAATGAAAATTAGCATTTTTGTTAGCCGTTACTGAATTGATTAAAACCAAATTAAAAGTTGGGAAACAGAGCAGTTTCCATACTATTATATATAATATATGGAAGAGAGCTGAAGCTGAAATCTGAACCTAAAAAGTTAAATATGCTAAACATCACTTTTAAAATCTATAATTTGACTAATATCTCCCCCTGGAGTGCTGTATTACTATTTCCTATTGTTGTCTAGGAATTTTCAACTAGTTTTCTTTCCATTTTTTTTCAGTTTATTGCATTGATTTCTCTTTCTGCTTAAAAGTCTTCAAGGCAACGGCACAGCTCTTTAGGCACACTGAGGACTGGGCTTTGGCTGAACAACTGCCAAACATTTACATTCACCAAAATATTGTGTGAAACTTTTGGAAGGAAATGTTCAAATCTTTTACCCATGTTACACACAGAGCAATTCAAACAAATGCGAAAAAAAATATGTTTGTAGGTTTCTTATATTGACAGAAGTAAAAAAATAAAAAAAAAAATCCATCCTAGTATTTAGCAAATAAAATTGTGTAATCAGCTGTTTATTGCAGTACTATAACTGACATTACTCAAGCAACATGTTTTTTAGCATTAACTTGAGTGGATTTAAAAGGAAGGTGTTAATACCTACTGCTGGATTTAAAAAAGTAGTACGAGCTATTTTACATATTTTATTAACTTAAATAAAATATGATAATTCTAATTTGTCAACATAGATATTGAGTATCTGTTTTATTATTACAGAAAGGCTGTAATGATGGATGATTTGGCTCTTTTAAGTGCTGACGCCCCCACAGCCTGCCGTAAATCAATTTCCTCTCAAACAGGTTTTGATTATTCTGTGCAAACTTTGCCAGGTTTTCTGCAAAGAAAACAAGCTGCTAAACACGAACAAGGCAGATCGTCCTCGCACATCCACTTAAGTCCACATAACCTTGTAGGCTGATGGTGAATGAGCACACTCCCACTCCCCTGAATAAAAAAAAAAAACTGTTAACAAATTCCTGCAATTACTGTTTGATGTTATGGAGTTATTGCACGTTCGTTTCTGTTAAAAGTACATTTAGTTCATTAGGCTTGATGAAATTAATAATGATGCGTATAAACAGTTCTTAGGCTTCATACTCGAGCCATTTTAGAGCGAGTACGGTTATGAAATCTAGATTGAGAACAAAGTCTGTGGGGCAGCTGAGCCCCGAAAAAAGGAACAGAGTGAGACTCTAAACTCTACCTGCATTACAATGACTCCATCAGTAGTGCCGTCCAGTTCTGGGGTAAATAGGTAATAACAAATTTTCTTCTTTGCACAAACAGTTCCCACTTAATCCTATTAACACCCTGGGTAGCACACGTTGATGATTGTGATGTTTATTCAAATTAACTTCATTTATTACAATCTCAGATGGCATCTCTTCTCCTTCTATTCTTGCTTTTCGTTCACACACTAGCACACACAGCTGCGCCAATCAAATGAGGCAAAAAGGGGGTGTGGTGTGTTCTGTTACACAGGAGGCTGATGTGACATTAAATATGTGGGGAGCTCAGTGCCTCCTGACACACAGAGACAGATTGTCCTGTCCATCGCTGCCTAGCTTTGTTACATACTTGGTTAGTCAGAAAGGGATGGTAGCGGCTGTTGTCAAAGGATACTTTCAAGTAGGAACAAAATAACTGAGATGTTGGGGCTAGTAAAGGAGGGAGTGAAGATTGGAATGAAATGTAAGCAAACTGGCAGAATTTACTATGTTCTAAGCAGTCCTACTACAGGTGGGTTGAGGGATCTTTTATCTTTCTGGCTACCTAAACATTCATTGATTTTTTTTTTTAATGCATAATTAAATTGCCATCTAGGTTGGCATTTGATATTTTTTCAACTCTACTTAAGCATATGCTATTTACCTCTAAGGTAAAGTTCTGTATATTTTCAGTGATTATCTATTGAACAACAGCCATCCCCAGTCATGTGTACTGAACACATTACAAAATTTCAAAATATTTTCCTTAGTTTTCTTTAATTTTCAAATGATCAAAGAAAACAAATTTGGGTTTTCCTCAACTATCGGCGATGACAATCAAAGTAGACGGAATTAAATCTAAATATAAATATGTTTACGTTTGTACTAGAAGAGTTTCACCCACTAAATTACTGAAGTAAATGGACTTTTCATAATATTGTAATTTATTGTTCCATACCTGTATACCCAGTACCCAGAGCCCTTAGATACAATTATATATTATATTTAAGGATACAAAGCCAACAGTGGAAGGTAGGCACAAATTATACCACATTGTACAGAACATAAAATGTATTAGTGATATTCTAATACGAGGCATTTCCCTGATTTTCTTTAGAAATGGTGCAACTTATCAGAGACACAGAGAGTGAACATAATGCTATGGCTGAACATGATCCTTGTTAGTCTTTGATTCTGAACTTAAAATGGCAACTTTGTGTGACGATGTTGGCAGGATTTCAGCGAACTAGAGGTGATTGGTACCAGAATCCCTTTAAGCTCTTTGTCAGAGCCTCAAAGTCTACTACTGCAGAAGGAGGAAGAGAAGAAGAAAGAAAATGAGATGACTAAGGAACAATTGTAAGATTAAAAACTTCTCTGTTATTCTCATTTAAAATGCTGTTTTCTATGTCCTTTCTGCTGTTCCAATATTCAAGGATCTCTAAAGGAAGTCTTGCTCACTGACCTGGCAAAGTTTTAGTGCCTTTTCTGATGCAAACGTGATTTGAACCCAGTTTAGGAAGGCAGAGCAAAGTTAACCTCTCACATGCAACCTCTTCTTTTATTGTTAAATTTGAACATGTATGGTATACAAATAGTATACAATTAAACTTATAAACTGTTATTTGTAACCTAAATGTTTTCAATTTGCTATCAGCTTCATGGCTTTAAGTCATACCTCAGGATTAAGATAGAAATGATGAAGCTTCTAAGAAAAAGTCAGATTCACTGCTGCATAGTGTCTAAATCTCAACATTGGAGTACTTGTTTGGATAAACTATGATAATCTTTTCCTTTAACTGGTTAATCCAGTTTGCTCAATTTAATTATTTTTAACACATATAACCTAACTTACAGGGTGATCCAGGGAAATTGTTATAAGGAAAATATCAAGTCAGTGTACTCCACAAACTTTCAGTTACATGCATAGCATTCCCATTCTAGGTAAGGTTTCATGCAGTTAAATCCAGTGTATAATACGAGTTGGTAAAAAGGAAGCCATCTAAGGAAAGCCAGCTCTGTGCCTTGCAGTAATAATTTCTCTGAATTAGAATGTGGCGACAGTAAAACTTTGCACCTCCTTTTTAGATGAACAAACCTCCAGCAGCCGCTGCAGCTGACTGAGCCTTGAGAAAAATATATGATTGTTTGTTTATATAAAAACAATTGAGGATTGTTTTTTGTCAGTGGCACACTTTATATATGGTATGCCCAAAACTGAAGCATCTCTGCTCAACTGATAAAAATGTGCAATGATAAGGTGCTGATATGTTCTGATGTTGCTGCTCCATTGTTAACAGGGAAACACTAGCAGAAACAGATGATGTTCCCTTTAAGGCTTTGCCTGGTCCCGCCTTGAGGATTCGTGATCAGCTTGCAAGATGGACTGGAAATCAAACATTCCACGAGGTACTGAGAATTTTTATGAAAGTGAATTCTATCTTATTCTATTCTATTCGAGTTTGTGTTGCATCACTACTGTCCCACAGTGGAAATTCTAGTGTGTCAGTTGCAAAGCATATAGTAAGATGAAAGCATAAAGGTAAACACCATAATAAATAACAGAAAAAGAACCAAAATTAAAAAGGTAGAATAAACTCTACAGCAAAGGGAAAAACACTTTTAACTTGACTAATGGATATAATAATACATTCTAAAGTGCCTCACCAGCCACAGTATAAAAAAAAAAAGACATCCACATGTAAGGCATGCTCTCCTAGGTCATGCTTGTTTAAACAACATGAAAGAAAACTTCGATAAGCAACCGTTCAGGTTAAGCGGAGCCTGCTCCTTGTACTTGTTCATAGTTGGTACGGCTTGTTTAGGTTAAGGGGACATGGATGTTTTCTGGTACCCTGCATCCAGCCATGATAAGGAACAAAACAGAAAATTGCACTTCACACTGTACCTATTATAATAATTGTGATGTTGCTATGTGAGTTGTTATTACTATGTACTTGTTTGCAAAGTGTCCTGCAAAGCATTACAATAGAAACATAAAATAAGAGACAAAAATAAAATGAATCAAAACATGATCATCTGTCCTAATATCATGTGAGCCTCATCATTTTTTTATTTGAAAATGTTTTGGAGTTGAATTTTTGTGTCAAATTCAGCAAATACACACAGTTACATTCATTAAGTGCTTTATTGTGATGAACTACTTATGTCTTTGGTTTTCTTATACCTGATTGGTTAGGGAGAAGTCGGAATCAGCACCTGTGTGGTTTTTGAAAGCCAGACTGGACAAGTTGTCTCAACCAACCTGGAGCTGCAAAATGAAGGAAGTACAGTCATTTTTTACAGCTGGCAAAAGCTTCCAAAGCGTCCATCAAGCTTTTCTCACCTGCTTTCACAAAACAACAATGTCCCCTTTTACTTCAACCCCTCCTCTGGTACAGATTCCCAAACTTGATAAAACACACTCTTCTGCTGTTTATGCGTCACGTATTTGTCTATGTGTCAACCCTGCTTATCGCTCCCCCAGCATTCAGCCTTTTGCTTTTTTTCCCAATACAACTCAGGTGTGATCCTTCCCAGTGAAACCCAGAGGGTTGAGTTTATATTTAAGTCAGAGGAGCCAGGTTACTGGACTGAACTTTGGCAACTCAACACCCATCCGTTGTTGTTGCAAGGAGCCTCAATTCAGGTTCGGTTGAGTGGAACGGCCATCCACGTGGATGAAACTGCAGATCTGAGATGCTTTATAGAGGTATACAGTGATGGGATGCTTTATAGACTATAGCTTAACCAGCACACTGTCCAAAATGAAACAAAGCAAATTCAATTCATAGGAAAGCTTGCTTTGGTTGGTGTGATCATTTTTGTGTGTCTCTGTGTGTTAAACAGAAGAAGCTGGAAAATGCTGTTGTGGAAAAACAGCTCCGATCGATTGTACAAGATATAGTCGAGGGAGTCCACACCCCTGAAAGGCCTAGCTCACCTGCAGAGCTTTACATCACTGAACAACAGCTGTTCAACAACAAAAACCCCAAGGTCATTTACCTAATTGTATACATCTGTATTATCATGTTTAATTTCTTATTACTAATCTAAAATGATAGTAACTTACAAATAACAACTTTGCAGTTTCAAAAAGATCTTTTACAAAATTCAGAACAACATTGTTTCATGACTGACTCTTATTTTGAATTGTATTATCTTCTAACATGTCCATGATTGATACAACTGATTAGTTACAAAAATGAAGAAAATATTACTGTATATAGCTATACTGTCTCAAATATGTGCCCAGGTTGTTGTTTCAGACTATTATTACATGTATTTTACTTCAACAAAAGTACTTTTAAATTATCCATAAAGGGTGGAATGTGTGAAAATGCCCCAGATCTCCTGCTATTAAAATAGGATAAATCTAATTTGTTTGTATCAAACAAAATGAAATATAAATATATAACAAATAATTTGTTTGTATCAAGCACATTTCAATACCCAGAAAGACTTAACATGCTGTGAGTCACACTTTGTGAAGTTTTAGACAGCTTACAGTCTCTATGATAAATCTACATTCACTCATCATGGGCATAAAGGTCAGACAAATTCAATGCTTTTTATGTTAAAAAAAAGTTAGTAAATTTGTAAAACATGGATTAGGTGGAAAAAATGTAATACATTGTAATATTTTTCCATTATTTGAAATGTTAAAGGCCTACAAACAACCTTACATCCGATTAGATGTCTGTTAACAAGTTGCAGAAAAACACATTTAGTTGTCGTAAATAAGCTGCTGACCTCATATTGTTACAGTTGTGTTTTTTATTTGACTCAATTTTAAAGTTGCTATCTTGCTGATGCTGACTTTTCTTTTAAACTTACCGCATACATTTTCAGTAGTGTTGGTGGTCTAGATCTTCTCAGACAATGGATGTCAGTGTGCTTTACCTTTTCCAAAAACAGTTAGGATAGATTTGGTATCGTAGTGCCTCTAAGCCTGATCACTTTTACTGTTGATGTTATGTACAGTTAGAGAAAATGTATTTACTTCATACTCCTTTTGATCCACCCTACTGAATAAAAACAGTACTACCTCAGCATGATGTTTTCAACTCCATGCATGACAGATGGTACTGTGCTCTGAAATTTTATAGAGACTCAGACCTCCTCAAACCTTCTTATAACTAAGAAGCATTACAGACTTTTCTAATGATACTTCCACCTGTGGCCTAAACCCAGAACTGTAGCTCTTTTCTGCTCGTTCTTGTAGCTTGCCCTCATATTTAACAAGGTTATTTATTAAACTTTTTTACCTGTACATGGAGTTTCTGGTGGTTTCTGAGTTGAACTGGATGTTGGTCGCTTTTGATTATCCACAAAATCAAATTTAAATGCAATGCTTTTATTGTTCGCTAGGTCGGACACGTTTAACTTGTACACGCTTGACTTCACATCTGCCAAACAGTAAATTATGGAAAATAGACTACAAACTTATAGATACATTGGCTCTGAACTACTGAGGTGTCAGTCTGCTCATTATACAATGTTTTTCAGCAAACAGTTACATTATGTCTTTTTAAGGTCAACAGTCTGGTCTTGTTGTCCTCTGTCTTTGTCATTTGGTTTGCTCATATGGGCAGTTGCCAGATTCAGTTAAACTTGAAGAAGTCGCTCTTTGTCTAAGCTAGAGTTAAACCAACTACACTGTGCACAGTGACTGACTAAGTCTCCTAATCTTTGCAGGTTTAAGTCTTGGTTGTTTCTGGGACATTTCTGAATGCCCCAATTAATTTCCTTCCTTAGTAGTTTCATACTACTGGCCAGATGGTTAAAACTTGGACTTAATTGATTTTTGTTTTGTTTTATTTTGTTTTTTTTAACCAATTTTTCAAGATCCAATTACAGATCACAGCTGTTTTTTACAATAGACAACAAATTTGGTTTCGATTACTCTGAAGATTGACAGAATGAACTGAAAAGGGATCAAATATAATCTTGTGGTTGAGTTTAAATACCACAGAATACATGTCACAGGTTATCATCACAACCTATGAATGCTGTATTATACCAAACCACATGCATGATTAAAGGTTGCCAGTTCTGTGTCTCCTTTGTTGTGGTAGTTTTAATGTTGTGATGACGGAGCTGCTTATTCTCTCTAATCCTGGTTATCATGTCACATGTTATTTGGAGCACATTGGTCATTTTCTAAACCATTTTAGTATAGCTTTTACGTGTCATATGTTTTTTCTTTGAGAGGATCGATTTTAGTCACAGCACGTGAGTCAGTGAGAGATGGCCAAGTAATGGATCCATTCATTGTGTGCTTCACTTGCTGTAGGCCTGTGAGTGGTTTGCCAATAACATCTGTTCCCCCCAAAGCAAGCCTTTATTACAGCTCCTAGTCATTTTAGCACTTCATCATTCAACTTTGTTATAATTCTGGGGCAACTCATTATTTACCATTGATTAAGAGGGAAAATGGCCTTGAACTGAATTTTCTCCACGTGAGTAAAAAAATCATATTCACCTTGAGGCTTTAAAAGCCCTTTGAAATGCAACCAAACATTCAGCTCAATCAGTTACTTCTTTTCTGCTTTACCATATAATTAGGATATATCACACATTTCTCTGAAAGTTACTTTTGATAGATATTTGGAATGAAAGTGAATTGATTTAAAACATTTACCGTTAGGTTTATATCATACATAATCTTTTTTTTTCATAATATTCTGGTTTATCCTTCTGTCTTGTTGCAATTTTCAAGGCTGTGTTGTCTCTGCCTGATGGAGAGCCTATCAAAGAAGACTCTTTGCATCCGCAATTTTCTGAACCACTTGATGTAAACCACCATCTTCTCACAACTGCCATTACAGTGTAAAGTATTTACTGTTGTGGAGTACATAAACTTGCATTTTAAATCTTTCTATATTATTATCTCAGCCGTGTGTTTTACTCCTCATTGTGGTGGTGTTTGGTGCCCTCTGCAGGCGGCCACTGTGGACGAAACTTCTGGACTCAATGGCTGATGAAGCCATGAGGCTGAGAGATGGGATGGGCCTTCCAGAGAAAGAAACTTGGGATGGTAGGAAGCATGAAATCTTAATCTATTTTGAGACTAAACTCTATGGAAAATACATTAAGTATTACAAAACAGTATTATTTGTTTTTGTTGTAATTACCCCATAGTCATGTAATAAGTGAAAACTGTAATCTGATATTGATGTAGGTGTTTCTTAAATGATGTAATGTACTTTAGATGTATAATGTACTGTTGAAGATAAAAGTAGAAAACATAATATTTTTAGAAATATTGGTTGGAAAATAAAATAACTGAGGTCAAACAGAATGAACAGCTGAAACAGCTGAAAACCTATCAGAAAAACAAACTAAAACCTTCATCAACTCCATGAGTATAACAGGACGAGCAATGCCATAAACACACCTTCAGAAATCCGCTTTAGTCCTTTGGATATAATCCATTCCTTTGTCTGTCTGGAGAGGTGTGAATGGTTATGGCAAGTTAGCAGATGTTTCCAGCAGCCAAGCAGGATCGCATTTCTTATATGTCATACAATTAAAGCTGGATAGCTTTCAAATGTTTTTATGAATTTATGAATCCTTTATAGAGATTAGTCCTATGAGACTGTGTGTCATTTACAAATACTGTATGTGTTCAAACTCATAAAAAGCAAATTTAACAAAAGCAAGTACAAATTAATAGTTTAATAGCCACAGCTTTGAACATGTTCCAGTCACAGCATTCAAAACATTCCTGGAGTTTCTCCATGGCCCCCTCAGTCCACACCCTGACCTCCTTCACTGTTGGTTTTGCCCTGATTAGCTGGGACCTGTGTGCAGGAAGTAGCATGACAGATAGTTAAACTGATGACTCGAGGTAGGGATGGGGAGCAGCTCTGAATGCATCTTTAAAGTTAGAGTAGGCTAAATCCAGAGTTTTTTGCCCCCAAAGTCAACATGTTGGTAAAATTGAGGAAGAACAGTCTTCAAGTTCACCTGGTTAAAAATCCCCAGCATTGATAAAAACGCTCTGTGTGTGCAGATTGAAGCTCAGAGATCAGCTCAGAGCCTTGGATAGAATCTTCATGGCCTCTCTTGTATTAGTGCTTGGGGGGACATATACAGCAGTGATGCTAACCACAGTGAACTCTCTGGGCAGATAGAACAGTCTGCAGTTAACAGTCAGAAACTCAATGTCTGGAGAGCAGAAGCTGGCCCCTTCCTCTAGTCTTACTGCTGAATTTGCTGTTTTTATCGGTGCGGTATAATGTGAGCCCCTTAAAGGGGAACACCGGTTTATTTACATTGGGCCCTTGATTTTACGTTATTACATCATGTTGTACTCACCCATATCAGTTTTGTGTCATTTGGAGCTGTTATTGTTATATCCAAGTAACGTCTTCCTTTGGGCAACGAGTTGAAGGCACAAACTAAACTGTTCATAATTTATTCTTTATCGTACGCCAGCATTCATAACATGTAGGCAAATTACTGTCCCCCAAACATCTGTGGTTATATTTTTTATATTTATATTTTTTAAAAACAAAGCAGAGTGTATATGACGTATTTTAACTGCAGCTTGGAGATGGATGCTCAACAGCTCCAGCTGAAACGGACAATAAACAATCTTACACGTGGCTTCGGTGCTGTCTAATAGAGCAGTAGCATATTTTAAAATATAACAGTCATTCCAATATCAGGGTCTTCAATATCACAATAGTAATGGACTGCTTGGATGTTATACAGTACATCATAGGATATTACTGTAGTTAATGTATGTTTTAACAACCTAGAAGAAAGTAAAGATATTGATATCTGTCTTCACTGTACTCAACAGGAATCATGAACATATGGTTTGCTGTTATGGAGCAGCCCTATTAGACTTAGACAGATTTATTTCGTCATTTTGTATACACGAGTGTATACAAAAAGAAATTTTGTTTAAAACATCTTTAGACAATTTCATTCATTTTCATTGCAGCCTTGAAAACAGTAATAAATACATAAAAAAGTAATATAAACATATGACTGTATATTTATAGTTCTAACATTAATTTTCTTTATATATATATATATATATATATATATATATATATATAATAACCCATTTTACACAACATTTAGCACTTTTGCCTGTTATGATACCTTACTAGAATGGAGAAAAACATCTGGGGAAATTGGTTATAATTATATTTCTAATTGTACAGTACATGGAGAAGTTTTAATCTAATCTTATTTGTGTGAATTTTTACATATTGTATTTAATATCTATCTGAAGACATATAAAGTAGAATCAAATCATTGGCCTTGAAAAATACAGACAGGGCTCCATTGTGCCAGATTTTAGTAAATCTCATTCCTTCTGTATGTGGTCAGTGGATGATGGTATTAAAAGTGGACAAAAATATCAATAAAGAAAACTATCCTTTTTCAAATGTCCTATTTAATTCATGATTTTCTCTGTACCTTTTGTTTTGAATTCTACATAAAAGGAAATATTTCACTGTTTAGATCTCTTGTTTTCTATATTACTTCTTAGACATGGCTTCTCAGTCACCCACAGACGACAAGATTCACGACAAGCTGGAACCGACTGCCAAAGAGGACAAGAGTGGCTCAAAGTCCAAAGACACCCGCAAATCAAAGGGCTGGTCACCAACAGCTGGCAGGTTATTGGAGGTAGGTGTGCTTGATGTTAGTAGGGCACCGAAAATAGGGCCATCTTTGTGTGTCTGTAAAAGTTCACCACCTGCCATAAACAGAGAAATTGAGAATTTGAAGTTGTTTAGCTGCAGAGTCAGAAGCACTTTGGTTTCAAAGCATGAATAAAACATTATGAAGGACAAAAAACACTACAAAGAATTGTCACTATCAAACTGGTCCAAAAATGATTTAATCTCCTCACAATAAGCAGGCTGTCAAGTTATCAACTTTTGTTACTACTGTCTGCTGCCCCCACATAATTACGCACTCATTCTCAGAAATTCACTCATCTGCCATATTAATCTTCTTTGAACAGTTTTTCTGTGTTAGAATGTACAGAATGCATGAAGCGATGCTCATTATCTACTTTACTAGTCTGTATATTTTTGTCTTATGTACCTTTTGTTAAGTTTAGTTCTTTTCCAAGCTTATAGCAGTAGCTTAGCAACACCATGGCTGTTCGGTCTTTCATAGAAAAACTTAAGCAGCATATTAAGAAGTGATTACTTAGAACCATTTTCCAAATTACTGTACAGCCATGAACTTTGATATATTCTATTTAGATTGTATGTGTTGTTTCAGTACCATGTAAAGTATCTTTCTGAACCGAAGGACAAGATGCTCAGTTTTTAACTGTTATTTTCCAATTAAAATTCAGAAAACTGCCATATACAGATGCAGATTTATCCCCCTTAGTCAATACTTTGTAGACCATATTTTATACTAGCGCCGACTGATAGTCTTTTTAGGGGAGGTCTCTGCCAGCTTTGCACATTAAGGGAATATTAACCCTTATGTTAATACCGTACCTCAGTATCAGTCATCCTGAATAAAGAAACTTTTTGTACTTCAGTTTCCCCTGCGGTTGTTTTTATGTTTTTTGTTCTTGTTTTCATGTACATCACTTTGGTTACCTCCTTCGGTTTTTAAATGTGCTATAGAAATATTGTTGAGTGACTGATTTAAACGTCTGTTTAAAAAATTTTATTAAATTAAGGTCTCGATTTTGGCCAGGCTACTTTTACATGCAAGTCTGCAATTCAGCACATTCCCACTCCCAACTCGTAAAATATTGATGCTTGGTCAAGCCCATGTGGCGTCAGCATTTGAAGCGACAAGGTTACCCATCTTGTCATTTCATGGCAGGCTGTGGCAGGAACTTGCCAAAGTTTCTTTAAATTGCAAAATATAATGCTAAAACTAACCCATCCCTACTCTAACCCCATCCCCTAAACCTAAAGAAACGTTGGTATACATGTTACCATGCACTCAAAGCTACCAACACAACTTTATAGGCTGAAATCTGAAAAACAATATTGTTTCAGTTCATGTAGGTGTCAATGTCCCAAGCTGTCATTTACCCTGTGCGTCGATATATGGCAAGAGGGTTACCCTCATCATGTCAGTATCACATGCAGAGAGCTTTGACCGAAAGCATCAATATATTGCTGCATGTCTTCAGCAGCCAATAATAGTGTTTCTTTTAAAACGGCCCTTTATTTGCAGCACCACCCATCTTCTAATAGGACAATATCTTGTTTCCCTGGTGAAGAAAAACATCTACACAATTTTGAGAGAATTTCAAAGATTTCTATTTTGGTTACATCTGACCTGGGCACCTTTTTGCACACATTAGGTAATCCATTCAATGAGTGCTTCATTTTAAAATCGGTGTGTCTGTGCGGTTTTCTTCTTACCACTCTTCCTCAAAGGCCATATGAGTGTATTAGAAAACTCATAGTTACCCCTTTTCATACCTGAGATCTGGCTCTCTGCACCTCATCCACAGTTACTGTAGACCTCTTGGTTATTCTGTGATTAAATATCACTTATCTTGGTTCATTTGCAGCAGTGCAACACTCATACCGCTTTCACAGGATGGACTGAACAGTTACCTATACATTTTTTTTAATTGTGGGTATTTTTTATAACCTAAGCCTGGTTTAAACATCACAATGTCTTGTTCATTTGTTCATTGATCTCCATGATGATCTGTGTTCACATCCTCTAATAAACTTCTGAGATCTGCTTGATTGATTTAAGTACTCGTCAACTAATTTAGTAATCGATTAATCGTTAACTGGTATATAGAGACTATAAAACATGCATTTAGCTTACAGAGCAACCCACTTAGAGCAGTAACTATTTAAAAATTGTCATAAAAAATATATAAACATTTGGCATTTAAGATAAAAAAAGATTTTGTCTGTCAATACGCTCTATTCAGAACTCCTCAAGTTGAAAAGTTATATTTTTACCTGGTTTCATTTTGTTCAACTTCACATGTATCACCTATTTCACAATGTATCAAATACAAGAACACACATATTCTTGTCTTGCTATATGTAGTGAGGACCATGTATTAATTCCCAGTGATCATTTTCAGCCCTTTCTATGCCCTCACCCTGACAATAACCAGTGCATACTTCACCCTACCCCAATTCAACCTTAGTCCTAAACTAAATTGTTAGCAAACTAGCTAATGATCCTACATTTGTGAAATAATTAAGTCCTACAGCAAGTCTTAGGTAGTCCGACAAAAGCTTTTATGCTTAAATAGACCTGCTTTAAAAGTGGGTGTGGGCATTCTTTAAAGCTACTGCTCATTGACTTTGACATGAACTTTCTCTTAAGCTGTGCTGTTTACACTTAATACATAGATGTGGTCAAATAGATCATTAAAACCTTTTGGTTTAGACAAGAAGTCCCATCCTATGACCCAATGTTGCCCATTTCTATTTTAGCATTTTATATTGCATGTTTTGATTACAGTAAAAAACTTTGTGACTGAGTGTCTGTTAAAAGTCCTATAGAAATAAAGCTTATAAACTTTATAATTTCTCCTCTAATGGGTCTCTACTTATTGTCCACCATCGTTGACATTTACAAGAACTGCAACACAACTTTATCTCTTAATACTCTGCTGACTAATTTTTTTTCCCTCTTTATGTGAAGGTTGAGTCATTGGGTAAGGTAGGGTGCCATGGAAACAGAACATTGTGTGAAAAAGATGCACCTGTTTTCAGACAATATGTCAAAGTGTGAAATATTTGCACCTGTACCATTCCAAGCCATCTTTGACAGATGCTCGCACAGCTAGGCACTGTTTACTCAGTAAACTGAGACTGTTTAACTGCAACTGCATAATTTTCCACAGGAGGAGAGAAAAAAGCAAGGAAAGCACCCAGATTCTGTGGCTGATATCAGTTCAAAGAGAACCATGCAAAGCCAGAGTGTTGATTCAGAGACAATCCTTACCTACAAAACAATCCTGCATAAGAAGGCAAGTTATTTACATTTTTCAAAAATTGTTTTGCCGCTTGTTTTACAAATTGTTCTACTCAAGCATAGAACCATCTTTTTGATAGTATTATATTTGAGAAATTTAGAAATAAAAAAAGATTTCTAGGTTCTTGTTGAGCTCATAAGGTAATCAGTCAGTCAGAGCGCTGGCGCACCAAACACATGCACCTCGCACTGTGAGTAGGGCACCAAAAAATCATGCTGGTGAAATTTTTTTAGAATTATAGTTATCATGGTAGGAACATATGTGAAATAAAAATGTGGAAGATTCGTTATTACACATAAGCGATACAAAAATGAAATAATGTTCTGAAAAAGGTGGACCTCCCTCCGGTAGCTCCCATGGTGCCGCCCTCCCTCACCTGTTGAGGTTCTCAGTTATACCTCGCACATGTTTAGCAATGACACCAGGGGTTGGGTGTAAGAGAAAGAAGAGATATATGGATAAGTTGATGAATGGAAAACAGTTCGTTTACCTGATTGTTGGGAAAAAAACCTTGCAACAAGTGCTGTCAAAGTTAATATGTACTGTAAATGCATTTACAGAATTTCCTCTTAATTCTGTGATTTTTTAAAACCATTTGTCTCAGTACTTTTTGGAGTTGATCTGCACTTCAGGTTTCTTCAAAAGTTGAGAAGAATCCTTCACTGTCTCACTCCCCTCCATCTCTCTCTCTCTGCATCCTCAAACTAGCTGTGCGCACTGCAAGGGCACTGTAATGAGAGAGACAGGACAAACCTTTGGAGTTTGTGGCAGACTAAGAATAAGTAGCGGAGCATTATTTTACATGCCTCATCACTGCTGTAACACTAAGCCTCTTAAAAGAAATAACAAAATTAAATGCCGAAGCAATAACGACATGAGAAATTATACCATGTTCAGTCTGTTATGTCTGTCCTTAGAAATGATAGACCCTAAACAGCAATGTTGTCGTGTATTTGGTAGAAATTCTACAGACTTTGATTATTGTTTGTTTTGATATGCTCCTCCTAATTAATCTTAGAAAACTTTCCATTATTATATGGATCAACTGTAAACTCAGACCTTTTTGGTGTTTTTAGGGGTTTATATGACACCAAGGAAACACTTGAAAACAGTAGAATGATCAGTCTTGTTCTAACAGCATTTTAAGGATGAGTGCTAGTTTTTCATTAAATTCCTCATTGTTGCATTGCTTTTGTAGAAATCTATATGATTAGTCCTGATTAAATATTATATTTGGGTTCAATTTCAGCTCTCTTAGAGGTATAGTGGAGGATTTTAACAAAATTTAGAAAAAAACCTTTTCACTTTAAAAAAATATGCCCAAGAGGGAGCGCCCATTAAAAGCGTGCATGATTATGTAAGACCCCATTTCTCCTTGAGTAGGTGGCGGGGACGCAATGATAAGATGGTTGCACGTAGGGATCTCATCTCACCTATATTTATATATAGAAAGTTTCCCCGCAAATAAGAATTTAAAAAATCATGACCTGCTTGTAGGTGTGTGTGTGCTGCAGTGGAAATTTGGACATGTTTGTAAGTTATAATAATCATTGGCCACCGTATAACTACTAATGATGCAAATTACAAAATAAATAAACTTATCCTTCCCAGAAAGATACAATATAGAGGTAGTTAACTTTTACCAACAGTGATGTGAAATGGATTTATCCAAATAGCATGCCAAACTTTACCTGTCAAGTAGAAATTTTGCAACCGAGGCATCAGTGAGAAGCCTGGCCTGTGCTTTGAGTGTACGCCATCGCGTGAAAGAATCTCCCAAAAACACTCCGGTACTGTGTCTCTCTTCTGAGGCCCTTTTCTTCTTCTCATACCCTTCATAGACACTTTTTCTCTTACGACCCTTGGCCATTTTCAAAGAACGGCAGTTAGAAAGGTGAGCTTCAATGACTGTCTCAAACCGTAGCTCACCACAAATATATGCCTGAATGTGTGCATGCGCTGAAATAGATAGCTAACGTGACTAGCATGTACATGTAGGACGGCCTTACATAAACATATCACCAGAATGATTGACAAATAGATGGACCACTTATTTTGATGATCCAGCCAGAAAAATAAAATCCTCCACTACACCTTTAACTTCAACATATCAAAGTACCCTTGGCATAAAACTGAAGTTTGTCTTCTAGTATTTGTACAGTATTTAGTTATTTTTTCTAAATTAACCACTTTCACATGATAGCTATTGATAACCAAAAATATGCAAGTCTGAGAGGAGCTGGCATTCACCAACAAAACCAGTGGCTCCATAATGAGCCAACAGCTTCCTGTCCTTTAGTTAAACATCATCTACCAATTTCAGGTGTGGCTACTTTAAGTTTTTTACAAGGTTCAGGCTTCAAAGTTATTAGATAAAGTGAAATTGGCTTTTTCCACAATAATCAGACTGGCACACCACTGTTGGCAAGACTGAATTGTGGAGCGTCAGAAAGTAGTGCAGGAGATGTGAGGTTTGAGGAATGCTTTGTGCTCTGAGCGTTGAATGGAAAGCTACAATATGTTCAGAGGACAAGTAGAACACTTTGTTGCATGATCATAGAACAACCATTTTATCATGAGTGTTAACAGGAACAAGGAGAAAACTGTGAAAAAAAAATAGTACATCAAAGACTTCATTCCTGTAGGAGAAAATAAAGAAGCAAGGGGAATCATATATCTGGATGTAGGTATGGTCTAAATGTAAGATTGCAATAAATAACATTACAGTCTCTTATTTTTGGATGAATATTCTGGAATCCATCCAGAAGAATTTTGCACAGATTTGAGAATCCAGTAGGGAAAAGTGTATTTTTCTTCATTGCCATCTGTTGGCTATTTACGTCAGAGCAAGTTATTCCAAGAAAAAAACAATAGAACACATGCTGTCGCAAAGATAACCTTATGCTAGGAAGTGATCCAGTGTGGATCTTAGAAACGCTGTTGAACAAGCTTGTCAGAATAAACAAGACTGTGAGCCACTTCCAACTGAGATGCTCTTAGCTCCACAGCAAAAATGTGAGGATTGAGTCAAATTAAATGTCATGTATATATTTTTCAGGTATATTTGATTATTTTCATTAGTACTCTGTAAATTCGTGTTGATAAATATGTCACTGCATGCCCACTCAGTGGGCCTGTTTTGCCCATAAATAACCTAAATAACAGATTGAGAAGTGTCTAAGAAAATGGATAGATGGATGGAGTTGGACTTTGTTATAAACAAGTGTTAAAGGAAAAGGCCGGTCTGCAATAAATGATCAATGGATCATTATCTATAGAGGTAAACAGTAAAAAAAAAAAATAATAATAATTTCCGTCGCAATCATCCGGGACCGGCCATTTATGCCTCAATATAGTAACACCTCACTGCTGACATCTTCCAGCAGTGACGTCACGGTGCGGTAAGCCTAGCGCCATTCTCCCCGCTTTACAAGCAAAATCTATGGGATTTTCTAGACGCATCTGTAATAAACAACAATTATTTAAGATTTCCAGAGGACTTCACCATTGAAATTCACCACAGCTATAGTTAAACTGACAATGTCCACGTGCATGGCAGTTGGATGTTTTAATATATCGGTTAAAGTGGAAAAAAATTAGTTATTTCACCTTTCCGACTCATGATCCTTCACGGACTGATTCGTCATTGGATTGCCAACTTGAAGAGGGAGGATTTACCATCGAACCTTGGCTAGAGAAAAAAACCTGTAACAAGTACCAAACATTTCGAAGAAGAATGTTTTCAAGATGACTTGGATTTTAGCGCGTTGTGACAAACATCAGATACAGCACTGGGGCTTGCTCAACAGCCGATACCGCACCGTGACGTCACAAACCAGTAGGTGGCAGTAGTGTTCTTTTACAAACAAGGATGTCCCCGGTAAAACACATTCAAATGAAATTTCTCTTAATTAAAAACACCTATCATTTATTGAACATTATGTAATAATTTCATATTTTAAGTACTTTCAGAAGTTTGAATTCTGAATATGACCGGACTTTTCCTTTAAGTCAGAAGTCTCACTATTGTGCAAGCCACAACTGGGCCTTAACACGTCCTTTTATTATGAACCTTATTTAATATTTACATTTTAGGGGAAATACTGCAATAATACTATCAACAATACTATCTGCAATTTCAAATTATCAAAACAGCTGAAAATAAATTCTCAAAATTTACAATTTCTATTTATCTGTTTTAGAATTTGAATAAAAATCCTGAAATAAATGGCATTTTTTCAAGAATCCTTTCTATTTTGTCTTTTTGCTTTTTGATCTCTTTCTTAACTTACTCCTGTACAGTAACACAGATAGTAGATTTGAAAGATGATTTTTAATCTTGTGGAATGTTTCAATTTTTCAATGTTTCTAAAGTGTACCCCCATTTCTACAGCCAGGTTAAAGAAAAATGAATATGTTTTGTATGAATTGATATTATATTTCCATGTTGGTTTATCTGGCAGGTTTATGCCTTGGTGGAAGACTTTCTGGATAATCTGTGTGACCTAATGGACGACCGTGATCTACAGAGTGAAAACTGTTGCGCCTAAAATGGTGGCAAAAAATGTTTTATGTTTGTTTTTGTTAAGTGAATAAAGTGTGTTTACTCAAAACGACTATATGGATGTTTATTCACATCTCCAGCCTCCCTTCCCTTTAATAGATGCTGTCTTGTTGAGCGCTGACAAAGCAAAAGATGCGCCCCCATCCCTCCTCTATAACCTCTCTCTAGCTCCCTGCTGCGTGCGTGGATCACAGCGTGGAAGGAAACCTGAGAGGCAGTGAGGGAGGGAGGGTGAGTGAGTGAGCGGTGTGTTGTAGTCTATCCTATGCGGATTTCACAGACACCGATTCTCAGCTCGAAAAGACTCGTATCGCCCAGTACAGGCCGTGATCAGCGCTAAGACAGATCCTGCTTTATAGATTTCCAGCAACCATAATAATAAAAAACCTCACAGTGATCTGGAATTCAGACTTAGGCAGCACAGAGATGTTTGTCTCTGTAGAGCTAAGCTGATCCCAGCGTAGGGAGACCTGTCTGGATCTGCGGCAAGAACTGAAGCGGAAGGCAGCAGGAAAGAGAGGATGCTGGGAGGACAGCGCCAGAGATGAGCGGCAGTGATGGTAAGAAGCGCTCAATGCGCCTCATCTGAGTGTTTCATTTATGGCAAAGCCACGACCACTCATTGCTTTGCCTTTGTCATGTGTCTGTAGTGCAGGGAGGGAATCAATGCTTCACATGGCAAACCGCCGCATGAGGGGGTGTGTGTTTAAGATGCGTCGGGGGTGAAAAGGGGGGAGTTTATGCAGACCTTTGTTTCCCCCCCACCAACAAACACACTTTATCATCATCACCTCACAAACCCAATACTAATCACTATAATCACTAAGCCCTTTTGTGTCAGCATAGCATCATTATTTCTCATCAGGTCCTACCTGCTGATCGGCAACTATGTAAAATAATGAAGCGCGCACCTGCTACATCAGCACGCATGCGCACTTTTAGACAACTGAGTGACGCTAATTCTGAGAAAATGACGCACAGGACTCTAAAACTTGAAACACCTTATGTTGATAAATGAATTGCAGCCTCTTTTACCCTCCGGATTCTCAAATTGATTACTTAATCAGCTCAAAGTTTCTAAGAAATTAGTTTATTCTTTTTCTGTTCTCACATATGGCATATGTTTGCCATAACTACACCAATTTGATTAGAATAATTATATTTTTACTTTGATATTTTTAGATGCATTGATTACTTTACTGTGTGTTGTACTGTGTGTTTCTGTGTATTTTGTTTGTGTTATGTAGGAGGTATCATCATTACACTTCCCTGTTCACGCACCATAGATAAAAAGGGACAAATTAAAGTTATCTGAATAATTCATTATAGCAGTCTAGGTTTATTGGCTAAATTAACCTGTTATGTTACTTTTATTCTTCAGGGTTTCTCAGCAATCTTAAAGTATGGGGTTTCTTTCTTTCTTTGGATTTTTCATGCCTATCAGAACTGCAAAAAAAACATACGGTAATTCTTTATTCCATTTTATCCTAAATTAAAAGACCTTGAACATAAATTTGCACATATGAAAACCTTGTGAGCTCTATAAATATAGGTTAATAATTCTCATTAGTCTTTTATCATGGCACATATTAGTTTGTGGGATGATTCACTGAAGAAAGCAAATATATATATTTTTTTCCAGAAGCAGCAGAAGTGATTTAATTGATTTTAACACCTGGTTAACACAACTGGTTTAGGGTTTAGAGTTTAGAGTTCCTCCAAAAGTGCAGTCCTAATGGCATGCTCCCTGTCTGCAATGGTCTATCTGTCAAAAGTGATCTGATGAGGGATCAACATAGCAACAAGGTCCCAGATTCAGAAGGGCAGTAAAGCCTGGTGCACTGTGTTCTAAGCTAGCTACAGTAGATGAAAGGATTGAAGAAGGCAATGATGGTAAAGAAAGAAGGATACACAGTTCATTCAGCTCAGGGATGGACGACCAAAGACTCAGGGTGTTCATGCTGATCATGTGCCATCCCCAAAACCATAGCAACTTGCACATTGCCATCAATATTGGATCCAAGAACTAAGCAATCTGAACTAATGAATCACATTTTGATTTTAGTCATATGGATGACTGGTTTCATGTGCATCACTTACATGGGAAACTCATGGCATAAGGCGTCACGTTATGAAGGCAACCCAGAGAAACCAGTGGAATACTTAAGTGAATGATTTTCTGTAAAAAACAGCCAACAACAAAAAAAACATAGATCTTGCCATCATATGAATGCTACTTTACACAGGCTATCTACCTGAAGATTTTTGCAAAATGTCTACAACCTTAAATCCCTACAGTGGACCTTGGCTAAAACTCCTTGGATCCTTATGGGGCGTAGACAGCTTAAAGGGAAACAGAGATCTATTTGAATGCAGTGTTCGGCTCACTCAGCAGAGAAATGTACTCAGCCTCAAGGTAGCAGTGGTTTAGGAATGGTTAAAAACTTCTACTTACTGCTTAGAGCAGGGCTCTCCCACCCTGGTTCTCAGGATCTATTGCCCATGTGTTAGATGTGAATGAATCAGAACATGTTTGCTTTATTGAAGTAAACCTCCCATAGAGCTACAGTATTTGATTTGTTCGGTTAATTCCCAAAGCATCTCAGCAGTTTGTTCTGATGGGTTTAATCAAATGAATTCGGCTCATGTCATAATTATGTGACACTGTTGGGTTCCTTATTTGAGCTCTGAAGCTGTTTTAGATTCAGCATTATATCAACTCCTCAATGTGGCATGTTTGTTGGGATGTGAAGCTCAGAAATTGTGGTTCAAAGCAGTTTTTTCAACAACATGAATGTTTTTAGCATCACTAATGGTTGCGTTTGAACCTGTCCAAGATGATTATACAGAAAGCTGATACTCATTGCAGCTTTCCTCTTCATGCTCTTCCTTCTGTCTGTCCCTTCTGCACCTACAGTCTCCCTCATATTCGTCCCTTCAGTGTTTTATAACAGAGCCATCTCCATCTGAGGCCCTCAATGCTGCTGCCATGCGGCTGCTGATGTTGGCTTTTTAGGCAAATGAGCCATCCTCTGCATCCTTTTAGCAGTTTTAGAACAGCAGTTAATGCTTACAATGATTTTTTATGTATGTAGATAAAATTGAAAATTTTCTAAAATGTTATTATGACACAAAGCTTAAAGGCAAATAATGATGCGAAGCAATAATTATGTTTTAAACAAAGATCAGAGAGGTTTTTGTTCAATAAAGGATTAATATACACTGAAATTAGACATGAATTTCTTTAGAGTTCACAAGATGTTAACATTGAACTTTTCAGCAACAGTAAATGATTGCTGAGGGTTCCTGCAGGCAAACAGTTTGATTGGTCAGGTTAGGAACCAGTCCAAACCTGTTGTTAATCTACTTATTTAGTTTAAGGATCTTCTGTGGTTTTCAGGTCTCCATCTCGCCGTTTATAAACGGTACTTTACAAGAAGAACAGTGGAGCAAAAATAATTTAGAGAAATAATCAAAAAGAAGATCACATACAGTGAAGACATGAGAGTTAGTCATTATTAAAAATATTTCATCATCAAGAGAAAACTCAAATCAATTGCAGAGACAGCAGAAATTGTTTTCATAGCTCATAAAGAAAACCCACATGCATAGTTATGAATGTTAGATCACATTTTTATGGAATGTGTGAAACAAACACTTTGCATGTAGCTTAAAAACAAAATTAAACCAAGCTTCTTATTTACTGAGGGATATATTAGATAATAATATGGGCCTGTTTTATGTTGCCATGGTGTTTAGATTTTAGGGAATTTTTTTTTTTTTACTAGTAAGATAACAAATTAAAATGATGGGGATCCATGCTAATAATCAAATGATCTATAACAAAAGCTAGACAAAGGTTTAAATTATTGGAGGAACTGGGGTTTAAATATGTTGCAGGTCTCATGTGACCCTGTTAGACCTTCCAGAAATGTGTTCCATTTTGAAAATAAGGGGCATCCATCCATCCATCCATCCATCCATCCATCCATCCATCCATCCATCCATCCATCCATCCATCCATCCATCCATCCATCCATCCAT